TGATGGGAATTTCTGGTCCCCTCAAACTGAATTAAGATCTGAGGATAGTGGAGGCTATTTGATAACAGTTTATTCATTTTTGTGTTCAAGAAACCAGTTTTAGATCATCTGAGTTTTGTGTCATGGTGTGTTATCCTGCTTGAAATAGCCATTAAAAGATGGGTACATTCTGGTCATAAAGGGTTGGATATGGTCAGCAACTGGTTGCTATACTGGTGACCAACTTGTGACTGGTCAGCCTGCTTAAGTAGGCTGTAGAATTAAAACAATGCTCAGTTTATATTAATGGACCCAAAGTATGCCGAGAAAATATTCCCCAAACCATCACACTATGTTGAGTGTTGTTTACACGAAATTCTGAGCCTGGCATCCAAATGTCACAATGAAATCGAGACTCACCAAAACCAGGCGATTTTCTTCCTTTCTTCTGTTGTCCAGTTTTTGTCAGCCTGTGTGAAATGCAACATTGTGTCAGTCTTCTGTTGTTAAAAGAATTTGCTGGCTTTTTTTAAAAATCATTGTTATGCTGATGATATTCAGCTTTATATCACTATCTTTAAATCTCAGTGTGTTTCTAAAGTTTTATCTGTACAGAATTGTTTTAACTGCATAAAATCGCGAATGTCAGATAATTTTTATTCTCAGCAGAATGAGAATAAAACACAGATCTTTAGTTGCATTTCCCAAAAACCTGATGCTGTTCATCAGAACATAGTGTTTCTCCGACTGAAAATGCCACATCCAGATGAATAGATGAACCTGGATGATTGAGCATAAAAGCACCAAGACTTAGTTGTGTTTCTTTCTCGTGCATCTCAGTTTGTATTTCAGCAGTAAGTAGTTGCAACATGATTAGATAATTGTGTTAATGAGTGACTGAATGCATGTACCTAATGAAGTGTCTGGCGAGTGTATACAGTAATTATAATAGTATAATAATAACATTATATTCATCATTCTACACTTAGGCTCATCATGCGTAATTGGGCAAATTTCCAGTTTGAAAAGGAATTTTGAAAAGAAAAAACAAAATAAATTAGAAAACAAAAACAAATCAACACAACGAGTGTACAGTAATACAAAAATATTGACAGCAACAATATTAACCTATTAAATATGTGTGTATTTAAAACTGAAAACATTGTCAGCCATTATTAGAGAGAACTGTTTTAGAACCCAGGAGCAACACAAGAGAAAGCACAGGGTCCTCTGAGGAACCAAGAGCAAGAGGAACCAAGGTGAGTTTTTGGGAAGGAACCATAATAGTCACAAAGATGGGGTTAAAATATACTGAACTTTAACTATAATTTAGTTTTTTCTGCTCATTAAAGCAAAATCCATCTTGGTGGAAGTCACCATGGGTTCATGTGTTTCTTTTTTTTTTTTCAGATTTACTGGTTAGTAGCCACACTGCTTTATCCGCAGGGTCTCTAAGATGTGGGAGAGCTGTTCAGTCTGTTCATTAAAGCTCCCAAGAGAGACGTCTTCCTGTCGTGGTATTGACACCACTTCAGGCCTATAAGAGTGTAGATAATTCAGAGAGGAGATGTTAGCTCATTAACAGAGCTTGTGGTTGAACTGTAGATGGTTGCAGCTGGGGAAAGAGAAAACCCCGCCCTCCTCTCAGTGATCGTTGATTGCTGGTTACCCGGAGTCATCAGTACTAGTGGTTAACCATTCATGAAATGTTATATAAAATGTCATTGTTCCACTAATGCTTTAATTGTGTGAATGAACACTAGGCTTTCTGCACATTGAATAATGTATTTATGAGTGTGCATTAATAATGAATAACATGCATAATTCATAGCTACAATAGTTCAAACTTTTTAACAGCACAGCAACATTTTAAGCAATGAAAACCAGGCAGCCAGTGTTTTGTCATCTCATTATCTCCCACTATTACAGACTTTGGGAAAGGTGTACTGACAAACCTGCTTTTACAGGCACCGTGGGCGCTGACCTGGAGTCAGGGCTCTTGACATGATGCAAATGGTATGCAGGAATCAAAGAGCAAAAGTACCAGTCCACCCACTGTGTTGCATCTGCTCCACCAAGGTAAGAGAAGAGAGGTTGGTCAACCACTTGAACTGACCTGTATGTTATGTAGAAATATGTGGAGAAGGTTTTGAATAGAACTCGGTGGGAAAGCATAGATTTGGTCTGTTAAAGAAATTCATATCATGAAAATAATGAAATTGTTTGTGTTAGGTATGAGGTGTCTGCTGAGAATTGGGATTGACCGGATTTGAGGAATTTTAAAACTTTAAAAGAAAATGGATCAATTAAATTTTAGCCTGTGACCCCACTTCTAACTACTTTTGACTCTGCCTGCTCTGGCTGAAGAACTATTACATCATTAAAATGTTGCCAACAGGTTTTTGTTAGCTCCCTTATTTGTTGAGGGAGTTTTGCTTCAGTGAGAAAATATGTGTTCTGTTTTCTTTTTAATTGAGAAATTTCAGGCCTGCCAAGACACCTTTGGTTTAATGGTATTTAATAGGAATAGAACATTTGGCTTTCCTGAATGTGAAAAAATATAAACTTAGGCTTGTATTGCAGCTCCATTACTGCCCGAGTTTTTTCCTGGCTCAGATGGAGTGTTTCGGGGGTGACTCACTGAAGTGAGCAGGATTAGTCTGCATACAGTAAAAGCTACATGATTTAAGCCTCCATCATTTAATAGAGGTTTATGTATTGTTCCTGTTATTTCTGACTAATGTCTACACTTACTTCTATTAGGTACGCTTATTAGATAAATAACTGCTTGTTAATGCAAATAATTAATCAGCAAACCCTGATTACAACAGTAACTCAAATAATAAAAAAATGATACTTGTTACAATCAAGATATATAAAATAGGATCTCTGAAAGTGTGACAAAGACCTTGAAGCAGAAGACCACACCCGGTGCCTATCTGGAAACTAAACTTGCAGTTCTCATACGCTAATGCTTGAAGTGTGTCAGATTCATGCAAGTTCTTATTTTGCATCTAGCAGATCAGGCTGTATATCTCGCTCTGCATGTCTAAACTCCCTCCGGTGACCGCAACAACTTTCGACTGACTCGAAGGCTGTTTATGAATGTAGTGATTTGTTCAATTTCTGTTTGGCAGAGTGGTGCTTTCTGGTAGCCTTGAGTGGTCTTTCTTCCATCTATAGAAAAACTGCAGCCCACATATCTTTGCAGTAGGTTCCTGTATTACTAACCCCTGGTCTGTATGTGAATGCATGGTCTACTTCACTTCATGTACTTTTTGCCACAGCAGATACAATTTCTAAAATATAACTGTAATGAGAGAGAGCCAAGTGCAACCACTAAAAAAATCATAAAAGTACATTTGTGCACTTAGCATGTATACATTATGCTTATTGTGATTAGCTCTACCTGATGTTTTCTATTTTTGGTCTATCAGTCTTAACACATCTGTTAAAGTAACACAGGTAAAATAGGTATTCAGTAACACAATAAAAAAGAAATACATCATGCCACTAGAGAAAGTTCCCATTCAGTAATAAAGCCCAGAAAAGCATCAATCCATACAGCAATATCCAAACTGTACCTACTGCTCTTTTTTCCCAGCTTCTGTCCATGCATGGAATGGAAGCATGGAGAAGTTTTAACTTGCTCGCTGGGCTCAAATATTATCTTCATGCTTCCATTTCCTGTGTAAATGTATGTAATAAGGTGATCCACTAGTGTCCGGAGGCGATCATAGCACAACAATACCAAAGCACATCTGTCATGAAATCCATGGATGTGGTCCTGCCAGAGTTCCCCGGTGAATTTCTATAAGCCCCTGCATGCTTCGTCCCATTTCAGCTGAGCAAACCACAAGAGATGAAGGGGGCAGAGGGCGCTGCTAGATGTGCTCCAACTGCCAATGGGAAATGTCAGTCCCTCTCACAGACAAGGAATAACAAATAGCCTCTTGAGTGTCTTGACAAGCGATGGCGGCTGCAGCAAACTTACCCCACCCCCATCCATTGGGAATTATGCGTGACGTGAGAAAGAGCCTCCTGCTACCTGAGAAATGTCTCATCTAGTGCTTGAAGACATTTTGACAAGAGTATATTACATATTTCATTGCATCTCTCAGGTAATTCAGTCAACATCAAGAGTCATAAACAGGAAAGGTGTTACATTATTTACTTTCAGTCTGACATCTCAACATCCCACTTATTATTTACATCACTCTACGCTGTCAGGGGCAGGAATAATTGTCCTCCTTTAATTCCATATTTTACATTTTAGTCTGAAATCCCTACAAATATGCTGTACTTCTGGGTTTTCACTCAGAACTGTCCAATTTATTAGCTTTTTTTATAGGTGCTAAATGTCACCCGAAGTCATTTCCTGCAACAGTAAACACTTTCTTAGCTTTTAGAAGTGTTTACAGCATCGCACAGCAGGTTTGTGCATGTTAAAGGAAATCTTCAGCGATGGCAGCTTGAGCTGGAGCATTTTGGTGACACAGAAATTACTGTGATTTTACACTTCAAACCACTCTGAAGGCACGATCCTTTTTCAGTATTTGTCACAGTGACATTTTAAAAATCCATTAATTAGTACAGTGCAAGGCCTTAATTTGTACACTGAGATACCATAGTAGAATTTAACACTACTTTTTAAAGTAATCTAACACTGTTGAGGAAGTGCTGTCATGTTAATAAAGCTGTATATCTAAAAATAATACATTTCCCGCTTCACATCAAGACCTTTGCTCTTATTTACTTATGTATAATCTCATATTATGTATAATCTCATATTTAAAGAAATAAGGTAATCAAACTAAGCATTTTATTAGCTGTGTCTTAAATCATCAACTTTATTTATTAAGATTTAAACTGAAGCTGTCAACTAATGGGAATTCCTTTTCAAGGTCAAAGAAGAAAAGGAACAGCTGATTAACTGAACACTAACGATGGCTGCAGTCTGGTAAGCCTTTTGCAGGTGCTGTGCATACTTAGCGTTTTAAATGAATTAATGGAACTCATGCTGGTGATTGGATGAATGTATTGGTGAGGTTATTTTTCATTGTGTGTTGCTTGGTGAGCCTTTTCAGTCAGGCAGTTCTGGGCAGTAAAAACTGTTGTTCCCACATGCTAGGGCAACATGGTGGAACAGTGATTACTACTTCAACCAGAAGATTCAGGTTTTATTCTACTGGTTAGAGGAGCATGCAGCGGTACTAACAAAGATTTTTACTTTTATTTTATTTTTTCAGTGGCTGAATCTACTTCAAAAGTCTCGGGTTTGCTGCAGTTCTTGTGAATGTGATGGCAATGACAGGATCTGAGCAATCACAAATAATGGTAAGTGTACTGACTTATAATATTAGAAAATATTATGATAAATGCATAATACAGGCTAAAAGTAAGACAACTGCTACAGAGAAATCAGCAGCATGAGTGTGCATGGGAAGAAAGCGTGTGCACTTTAAGCGCTTTTGGTCAGTAAAACTGGCCAAGATCTAGAACTGGCAATAAGCTGAGAGTGAAGAAGTGACTTGGATGAGCGAAGAAACATTTCTGCCACTGAAAATACTACGTCCAGATGAACAGGATCAACTTGTTGGAATGGCCAAGAATCAGAGTAATAATAAAGTCTAGTCTATTTGAAGGCACAAAAGAAATGGCAAAATGTAGATTGTGTGAGTTAACAGACTGATCAATATCACAAATCTATTATTAAGACATGGGAGATTCGGATGGATTATAATCGAGTATTTCATTTAGATTTTTCGATCTTTCAGCTGCAGCATCTGTGGTTTTAAACAATCTACTAGCAAGTAAAGATGAAATATAAAAACAGAATTCAAATGTAGGCTTGGTCTATATGCAAATTTGATACAATGTCAACAACTCAGGCTGTATCGAATTTGAAAACACATAATTCAAAAACACATAAATATGCCTGACACCCTTAAACGAAGCAGCATCTGGCTGCAGTTTAAAGACTTTTTTGTCTCAGTCTTGGTCTCGCCTCGACTTTGTCTTGGTCTTGACTCAGTCTGTCTTGGTCTTGGTCTCAATACCCTCTGGTCTTGGTATTGTCTTGGTCTTGGTTTAGGCAGCCTTGACTACAAGTCTACATATTAGTGACAGGCTCTCCAAACGTTGCCTTGTTTTATTCCAACCGGACAGGGGCCATGATTGTAGTTCCTCCTGAACTACAATCTAGAATTAGTCAAACTTCTGGAACATTTCTAAGCAGCCAGCTATAGTCAGCTGAACGGAAGACAATTGTTTATACATTTGAGTCATCACGCCTAGATTACTGTAATGCTCTATATACCAGTGTAGTTAGATCGTCTCTTATGTTTCCAAGCTATAAAAATATGCTGGTGCAAGACCCATACACATGTTACTAAGCACGCTCACATTACTCCTTTTCTTTTAGTAGATTTTGGAATTGGTTTTAAAATTATTGTACTTAAATATAGAGCACTAAATGGAAAAGTTTCAGACTATTTATCTCCTCTGTTTTGGTTGTTCCTCATGCAAGAGTGAGAACTGGGGATGCAGAGCCTTTCAGTCAGTGGCACCAACAGTTTCCCACTCCAGCACTCGCTTAGCTGACTCATTTAAAAATCAGTTAAATTGATTGTTAGATTGTTGCTGATGTTAACTGTTTTCAGGTTTATTATATTCTGTATTGTTCTGTATTTTAACTTTTTTTTGTATTGCTACTAACTGAATTTAAATTCTCTATTAATTGCATTGTAATTATTCCTACATTTTTATCTTTTGATTATACAGCACTTTGTGACTACTGTGTAAAAACACTATCAAAAATAACTTTACTTATTGCTTTCTTACTTAATTGGTGGTATTACTATCAGCCTCAGCTGTTAGTTACATTCCTGTAAAAGACTTGATATGTGTGTGCAGAAATGCATTTACATCACATGAGTAGAAGGAGGATATGCTGCCAGATGTCAGCTAACATAGTTTCTGTAATTTTTACTGTAGAAGATTTTAATTATGTGTAATAGTAATTGTTGTTTAATTGTCATATATTTAAACAGCTCTATTTGGGATGAATAGAAATACTTGTGTTAGCCTTTTCATGGGCTGTCAATTTGTCCAAAGGGCGCTCCACTACTTGCCCAATGTCAGCTGTGTTCCAGTCCCACTGAACCCTGGTTGAATAAGTGATTAAGAAAATGGATGGATGAAGGTTTTATTCTGACACATCATAGTTTTATTTTTTTTTCCTGCCTAAATTTTCTCCAATCACGTCCAGGCCAAACTGTGTGCTAATTATATTATAAATGACTTTTCTAAATTGCAATTGACAGTAGATTAATTAAAATTAAACCACTAGATGTCAATATTGTTTAGTTTTTTAATGTGCATAATTCCCTGGGATTGGAACTTTGTTCAGTTTTAATGAATATTGTTTATTAATTTGAATTGTTTGCAGCATTATGTGACAGTCGCACTGGAATACCCAGGGCCATTTCATTCAAATAAAGCCAGCTGCCACAATGCAGAAGGTCAAGTTACAGAGTGACCAGAATTGAAAGATTCTCTGCATGAGCTGCCCGAGGATAGCTACAGCAACATGTCTCTACCGTCAGTATTTTGATGTGTGTGATGAGTGCGCACATGTCTTTTTTTTTGAGTCAGTTGTTGGAGCTCAGTAACCTTGCCTTTTTCTTGGTGTAGCCCTCTATTTGGCTGGTGACAGCGGTTATCACTGAACACTAAATATGGCTGTGATCCTTAGAGCCTTCTAGTAATGCTGAAAATATTTTACATATCCTCTTTGCTGTTGTTGCTTGAAATAACTGCATTAAAATCAAGCTAGCTTGAAAGCAATTTGTAGTAGGTTAACTGCCGACAAGGCCTAATCAGCCGCTCAGCTGGTAATGTCATCATTAATCCAAGCAGAGAACACAATTATATAGTTAGTCACATACCTTGTGGTTCCACTCCAACTTAAGTCAGAGTTTTTGGTTGTAGTCATCATAAAACATGTAGCAAACAACATCATGAATGTGAATGTATGAAGTAGAAAACAACTAAACAAGTCTAGCCATACATATAAAGAGTATCAGCCAATGGAGACTGTTAATAATAGGTGGGAGATATGTCTTCACACCAGTGGAGGAAATGGCACACACTTATCACCACACATGCAACCCATGTTTTGGACCACTATTGACCCATCCATCCATCCATCCATCCATCCATCCATCCATCCATCCATCTAATCATTGTCTTCTACTTATCAACTAATACTACTTAATTCAAAAAAGCTAATCTAACAACAACAACTAAACAGTTAGTTGAGCGCAGTCTAATGGGTAAATTTAAAGACTGTGCAAGTGTTTAAATTTGAGGGCTATTTTAAACTGTCAGTCAGAGTCTTGAATAACCCAGTTGTAGTTTCTTTTTTTGACAACTTATCATTAGCAATGCTAGTCCCAGCACCCTTCTTCCTATGCAGGTTCATGTCACATGCCTGGCTATGTAACAGTTTGCTCTGACAAAGGCTAAATACAATCGTTCATTACTGCTGTAATCTGTCTTACTTTCCACTTTGTCTTTGTGTTCAACTTTCCATCACACAGAGAGAGAGAACGCTGCAGGGGTGCGGGCGTGTGGCAGCACTGCAGCCCTGCCTAATGGAGGATGGCTGCAACACATTTTAGTGAGTTAATGTTTAAACATCTAATCAACTAGTCATGCACATCCTTAATAAATGTATATAATAAATATATATAAAATAAACTATAAAATATACATTAGAAGAGGAGAAGGAAAATGAGTTAACTATAATACAAAAATAGAAATAATTAGTCCAAACCACTGTAATATCACATATTAAATATAGTAAGGAACCTCCATCAAAAGTACATCAACAAGTCCTTGTTCATGCCCCAAGGATTTTTCAAAAGTAAATAATCTAAAAAACAGACTTTATCATCTTTGATTCCTGCAAAGAGACAGAAATGTTTGATGTTTCTTTTTAAAATGTCTTTCTGCAGCCATGACTGTGCATAGAATTTTGTTCATTTAAAAGGAATGGGTCAGGGATGAATGAATAATGCATGAAGACATGTACATTTGGACAGATGATGGGACTACATTAAAGGTCTCGGGGTCACCAAAATGAATATATTCATTATGTCAAATTCATGTTTGTCTTATCCCAATTAGTGCAGATACCTGGGTGAAATGCGCACAGAGAGACGAATGAGGGCAAAAGACTTGTTTTCTTGTTAAAAGAAAAGAGAATTTTCAGTTCCAGTGCTTTGTCAGGCTAATGGGAAAATAACAATAGAGTGGAAATTAAGCAGAAAATGCTGATATGACTTTTACTTTGTTATTTTTGTCAGATAATGGATTTATTCTATTGCACCTGCAGGCGATTTTTACTTTGACATATTTAAAGGACAGACTAGTTCACCATTTCTTCACTCCTCTCAAGAACACTCGCTCGTTAGTTTAGTATAAAAGTTTAGGTGTAGTGTACAAAGTGCACTATACTGAATTTATTGAAATTTGCCCTCAAGCCAAAGTTACACAAGAGAATTTTGTGTATACAAGTTTTTTCTGAAGAGAAACATAATACTGAAACCACATGCACACAAGGTTACATTAAAATGAAAGAGTCTGAGCTCACCAAGCTTATTATACAAGCTTAAAAAAAAGTAAGACTAATTAGTCTGCACTGCATTGCAAAACCAGTGCAGTTTCTTTAATTTGCTTTCTGCATACCCCTAACATTTAACTCTTGTTTCAGTCTTAACATGATGTATGTAGACATGAAATTCATATTTAAGAGCTTCTTTTGATTTATTTATTTTTATAATGAATGCTTGAAAAAAGAGTGCTCAAAGTTAAAGTTAAATGTTGCAATTAACAATTTGGGCTTGTGGTGGCAGTGTTATCTCATTTTGACAGTTCCCAAACCAAAGCTTTTATATTGTGGAAACGCTAACTGCCAGGCAAAGTCACAATATTGATGTCAGCTACATACACTTTGAACTCTGTGTAGTTCAAACACTGCAACTGCGTTGTACTGACATGGAAGCTTGCTCTACAAAAGTTGGTTAGCTAGCTGCCTGGCTGACTAGCTAAGTTGGCCATAGTCATAGTGAAAACTTACTGGTGTAAAATACTGTGTCCTAAGAGTAAAGCAAAAAAACCAAAAACAAATTACCGGTAGTAGCATGCAGGTGGAAAGAGGAGGATGGGTTGAAGGTCTGTGTGATCTTGTAGTCTGATTTGTTTGTTGATCCCTTCAACTTGCCACAGGAGAACAGGGACAGAAGACAGAGAAGGGAGGAGTGCAAATAAATGTACAGAGATTCAGTGAACTGCATCAGTATGTATTTGTGTGTGTGTGTATATGAACTATAATATGTGTATGTGTGATAAATGCCACACAGAAGAACTGCCATCTCACTTGCTCTTACAGACAGGATGGGCCGATTGTGTCATCCAGGAAAACAAACAGCTTGTAGAAATATTTCTTGAAGGCAGAACTGTCAGGTGTCAGAAATTCTTTCAGTAAAAACCTCATTCGGCTGAGATCCAGTTTTTAAGTTTTCCAATTTGAATGTTCAAGAAAGAGTGTCCTGATGCATTAAAAATAACAAGCCCTGTTTTCATAATCTTAATCAATAGCCTAATTCTTAATCAGCAGCTGCTGATATATAGGTTTGATGGAAACTAAATTTCTTGATAATTCGATATTGAATCCATTACTCATTTTGGTTGTGTTTAATTTCTGCTTCCTGACACACAAAAGATTTCCACAAGGTTCTATGACCAATATTCCTCTTTATACCTGCTTCCCTGATGCAGTATTGCTAAAAAAACACCCCAGAATATATTTCCATTGCTATACAGATGATGCTCAGTAATATTTATCTATGAAGCAAGATACAAATCAATTAGATAAACTACAGAAATGTCTTAAAGCCATTCCTAAATGACCTAAAATGTTCTACCTCTAAATTCTGACAAAAGTGAGGTAATTGGATCAGAAACTAACTAGATAGACACTCTGAATGGCTTTGCTTTTAGCATTAGTGTGTGGAAACCTGAAGCTACTTTTCAAACAAACACCCTGTTTTAGAGTGATGCTGAAAAATTAGTTCATCAGTTTGCTACTTCTATGTTAGGATATTGTAATTCCTTATTAACAGACTGTCCTAAGATTTCACATCACAGAGTACTAACAGGGACTAGAAAGAGACATCATATTCTATATCACTGTCTCTTCACTGGCTCCCTGCTAAATTTGAAACTGATTTTTAAGCCCTTCTCAAGGAAGCCTTACCTTTAAGACCTCATAGTACCCTATTATCCTAATAGAGAACTCAGCTATCAGACTTCAGGCCTACTGGTGGTTCCAAAGATTTCAAGCCCCTCTCCTTTTGCACCACCTCCTAGTTTGGGTTTAGGACACAGACTCTCTCTACTTTGAAAATTTGAAAACAACCTTAATTTTTGATAAGACTGCATCTAGTGAACCTGAACAATCTGCTAGTTCCCAAAGTGCAGTGAACATTGCTTTTTTCATTTAGCTATTTTCATTATAATTGTGTTTATATGCTGCTATTGAATGCCATTAACTTTTATCTCCTCTCTTGTGTATTTTGTGCTCATTTGGGTTTTTTAAAAATTTTTTTTAAACTCTGTAGGTTCTCTTTTTTTCTATCTTTTCCCAGTATCCCCCCAACAAGTCACAGCCGTTGGCTGCCGTTTCCTGAGCCTCGTTATGCCAGAAGTCTCTTCCTGTTCCCACCATTGCCTAGTGCTATTCTTAGGGAAATGTCTAATTGCTGGATTTCTCTCTTTAAGGCTGAAGGGGTTTAATTTGCAATATAAAGTGCCTCGAGAGCACTTGTGGTGAACTCATACACTATAAATGAAACAGGGAAATTTGATAGACAGGTGATAGGTATATTATTTTGTTCTGTTTTATTTTGTTCTTTATGTTTATCTTTTGATGTTCTTGTGTGCTAAGGTCAGAGGTGGGAGGTAATGAAGTAAAAATACTTTGTTACTGTACTTAAGTAGAATCGTCGGGTATCGGCGTCTCTGTTGTTTCCTGTTTTACTTTGACAGTCTGTGTCTTATGTCATTGTATTCTGTTTTGGTTCCTCCCTGTCTCGTCATGTCTAATTAGGTTCTGCTGTGTCTCCCTCCTGTTGTGCATTTCCCTCGTTGCCTTGTGTATGTATATGTAGCGTGTGTTTCCCCCTGTCCCGCGTTGGATCATCTGTGTTTTCCCCCTGCGTTACTTCGGGTCGTCATCCCCCTGTGTATCTCCCCCTGCATTTCCAGGTTTTTTGCAGTTCTGCTTCCAGTTTAGGGTTTTCTTTGTATTCTTCAGTTCCCCGTTTCCCTTGTGTTTTGTAGTGTTTTTGCAATCAACAATAAAGGCTCACCTTTTGTTAAACATTCACCTCTGCTGTCCGCACTCCCTCCTCATGCGCTCCCTCTGTCACCGTGACAGTTTAGTATTTTTCTTGTAGGTTTCTTTTCTCTGAAACAAACCTCTCTAGGGAGCACCTCGCCCCTTACCCTCTGGCAGGTGGAATAGGTCCCTCCTCCACAACCCTGAGGATGGATGGATGGATGGATGGATTGTCATGGCATGCCTTAGTTCTGTCTCATGTCTCTCTGCCTCTAATTGTCCTGATTGTCTTAACATGTGTGTGGTTACTTTCTCCTGTGTCTTATTCCCTAAGCAGTTCCCTGTGTATAAATAGTTCAGTTTTTCCCTCAGTCCTTGTCGCAGTTAGAGATGGGCAAAGTGAGGTTTTGTGAAACAGTAATTATGATCATCAACATGATTTGGAGAAACCCCCAAACAACAAAGCAAGAAAAAACTGTGAGATTGTTAAAGATGGTAATGTAATGTGTTGTAATGTGTTTAAAATGCTAATTTTTCTCTGTTGTATTAACATTTCATTGGTAATTCAGTGAAATGCACTGCAATATAATGTAACTATCACAGTCTGTTTCTCATAAACTCAATTAATACGGTCTCTCACTAGCCGATCAATTAATATATTACTAACTTTACTAAGCTATCACACATTAAATCTCCCTGACACTATCGTCCTGTGACATAAAAACCCCTTTAAGTTTCAAATGTGTTCGGTTGATTTTAAGTTTGGGTAGGCTGACATCATATTAAACCTTATGGATTAAGAATGAGATGTCCACATTAAAAGCTCACCTTTTTAATTGTAAGACAACCTCTTCCATACTGCATCTGGGTCTTCACCCCTACATTTCACCCAACATCCATACCTGGTGAAAGACATTACATCTCCTTCGAATGATGTTTCCTGGTACTTTGTGTTAACTGTAGTGTATCGTTAAAAAAAAAATCAGAGGCTGTCTAATGCCGGGTGCTTAAATATGCTTAAATATGTTACACATAAAATTTGTACTTCAATAATAATAATATTTTTGTACTTCAAAATATTATTGTTCGCCATATGTGACTGAAAATTCCTTGTGCTTGCTTTCTCTTCAATATGCTTTTTCTTCTTCGTCTGCCCAGCAGCTCATTAGCTGGAAATTCTGTGGGTAGGTCTACTTGTGTCACCAGCCACAAATGGATACAAGTGCCATGTTATAGAGCATCTGACTGTAGATATCAATTTGTAGTAAGGTAAGTCAATAAAACCTGTAGCTCTATATTTTGATAGGTAATTATTAGCATTTTAGACTATTTTCACATTCCTGTTTATGCACGGAACAAATTGCCTCGTGTTTCATCACCTCTGCTGTCAAAAATGAGGCAATTTAATGAAAAAGATCAGAAAGAAATTGCTTTGTACGTGATCCCACACATAAGCATGTGTTAAGTTGCTATTTTAAATTGCTGATTGAAAAACAAATCCATAAGAACAGAATCCGAGCTCGTCGTAAACTCAGAGAGTGTATGATAATGGATTCTCTATTTTAGCCCTGATAAACCAACAAACACAATGATAATGTGATGATGTGTGCTATAACTGATGGCTGGCTGGAGGCAGGAGGATATATGAGCAAGGGATTCATTTTATCATTATGAAGAACTGAACACACGGCTTAGTTGTGGGAACCTTTATATATGGTAGCATAAGCAATAAACATTTGCCTTTATGCCTTGTAGCACACGTTTTGCTATCCACTTAATGTTGCAACTCTTTCCAGACCTTCTTTCAGTGCCTGCTGTGCTGTAGCCTAGTCTGTGTGTGTTTGTGTGTGTGTGTGTGTGTCCAACCCTGTACTTATTATATAAAAGAAGAAGTTAGTCAATAGATGCATGCAAGATGCCACTCACCTCCTCGCTTGCCTCTCTATCCTACAGGTGTGCCAAAACCCACACCCCACTGCCACATTTTAAGCTTTTTATGGTGGCTGTTTTTGTGACAAAACAGCGCCTTTGAATAGCCTGAGACAATTTCTGCTTAAGAAAAGACATGAAACAGAAGAGTGGGCAGCCTAAATGAATGGTGGGAGCTTAATGAATGGACCAGCTATTTATTCTTGATGATAGAAACTTCTTGCTTTAAACTTTTCAGGCTTTCAAAAGGGAATTACTGATTTTTACTGGTTTGGCTTGATTCTGTTCAAAAAGAAGACTGTAAGAATGACACTGACGGGGATGAGGATGGACTGGTGATGTTAAAATTTGGAGGGCTACAGGATAACAATCCCTAAAATGCTATATAGGGGCATGGCTGCTCTTTAAAGTGAGAGTTCAACAGCTTCACATTGCAACACATTCACACCTCAACTCTTGTCACTTGTCTTGATGAGCTGTCTGAATTGAAATGGCATTTGGCCTCAGGCTGCACTAACAATAATCCATAAAGTCATAGCAGAGAAGAAGAAGCAGATGGTGAAAACAGTCAATTTGCAATAAAGAAAGAAACAATGGTGATGTTTGCCATATTTTGGATAGCTCTTATCCCCTGTTCATTTAGCTTCACTGTTTTTGTGTTTCCAACGGTTTTGTTTTCGTGTTCTGCTGTCCATATACATACCCCACTTCATAGAAAACTTTTGCAACTGGCCAAATCAAACAGTTTTATACAGAATAACTGTGGCTGTTTCGCTCTGCCTGTTTAGGTGTGTAGTGAACCAATAATCTTCAGAGCTGCTGTTTGTGACAGTGTCTTTGATAGGGATAGAGCCAGGGGTTAAAGTGGGATTTGGCTGGTGGAGGATCCCTAAGTTTCTTTGTAGCAGTGTAGCAGGGGAAAATAACTCACTCAGAAATAAGTCACGTAATAATTTCTGCTGTGAGCTCCAGTAGATTTGTTTTCTTGTGAACAGGCCATGGTCAGCTGAGCTGTGCTGGTGCTCTCTACAGATTTAGTCACAACATTCTGCAATTTATAAACCGACGACTGTAGAAAACATTCACATGTGCTTGACATTATACCTGCTTTCCAGCCGCCAGCCAGTAAAAAACTAATACAAAGGTAAAATTTCTCAGGTTAACAGAAGCAAGTCCTGTTACTCTGAAGCTATATTTAAACACGCACGGTCACTTATATTGGCAGTTATTTAAAGAGCTGTCTAAATGAACTTTCATAAATAAGAGAAAGATCTTATTTAATAGTAGTAATAGTAGTTTATATTATCAGATTTATTTACTGATTACCTGATGGAGGTGGATTCATTTTCTAGATTATTCCAGGCCCCTTTATGCCCCTGCTCATAATGTTTCTTATTAAAATTGGGCGTTGTTTAAAACCTACATAAACTGATTTGTCCCAGCATTTTTTTTATACAATTATACAAATATAAAGACACCAATTGTAGAACACTTCCTCACACAATGATTCAGACATTTAATTCTCTGATGTCTGAAATTTAAAGCAACAGGAAGGGAAAGCCCGAGTCTTTTCCTGAGCCTCTTTAGTCCATGAGCTTATCAATGTGAAGACTGTTCCAGAGTCTACAGACATCTACAACATCAAAAAGGGTGCTGTAGTTGTAGAAAAAAACATCGGAGTAAGGTGGGTGATGGATGGATAGATGGCTATTTTTTGTTTTATTGCACCGTGCATGCATGGCACTTTGAATTGGTTTGAAAGTTGCATTTTTCTCTGAGCAAAGGTTTACCTATGCACCCAGGATAAAAGACCCGAGTTCTATCAATGATTGTAACAGAAACTCATACTGCTGTTTTCTATAATTTAATTACATGAGCAAGACTTTGCATAAGTGAAACAGTCATGTATTCATACAGGTATTTTGTCTAGGTTCAATCAAATATTCAGCCTTTTCATGAATCCCCAAATGTTTCTCTAACCGAGGCCCAGAACATATGCTCAAATATAATACTATTAGAGTAGAACGAGCTTTCAAAATAAGTCCCATTGAATTGTTGCTGAAATTAAACTCCAGCTTGGGTGACTGTCTTTTATATCACATTAATAGTGGTGCAGCACAGTGAAACGATGGCATAACTGCTGATTAGAATGGTGCTTTTCCACATGAGTACGACAGGAAGCACACGCCGGCAGTTTTCTAATCGCTCTGCGCACCGTCGCGTGGGATTACGGGGATGAACTGTTTGCTCCGGATGAAAATTGAGGTAAATCAATTTTCCATTTTCTTTTAGGACTTCACTTCTATCTGGTGTCAAGCTAATGACAGCACAAGCCACTGGGACAGGAGTCATTCATCAAAGGTGTTTAAAAGCAAACGCAGAGCGGGATCCTCTCTCTTCGCTCATTAGTTCAAACAAAATTACTTCTGAGGAGAGCTGCTGGCAGCTATCATGCTCGGCTTTTACAGGGTGGCGAAGGCTGGGGGTGCTGAGTGGGAATGAATGAATTGCATAAATAAAGACAGTAACCTCCCACTTTGATGTTGTAATGTGCCTCAGAAGTGATGGATGTCAGAAGTACTCAGGATTGGGACAGATACCAGAGAACAAAATGCTAAAAAATAAATAAGAGCGAAAAGTGGCACTATAGCCTCGAGATGGGTTTGGCATGCATCAGTTCTTTCTTTTGTCTCTTTCTGGACCAAAGAATTTCACCTTGGTGACAAACTACAAGAGAAAAACCAGAGTGACAGGACAAACATGACAAATGCAGACATGAAGGGTTGAAAAGTCTGATGAGTTTGAAAAGTATATAAATTATACAGTATGACTCTGAATGTCACCAGATTGGAACTGAGTCTGACAGTCTTTCAACAGGAGCACTGTTCTGCAAGGTCCATGTGCTTCTTGCTAAGCGAACTTACCTTTGTCTTTCCTTGAATCTACCAGATAGTTGTGTGCCAAAATCTGGTTCATTTTGAAGATTGGGATACTCGGGTGAGTTGCTTATCACAAAAGCTTGCAAGTCTTTTATAGTTTTCTCAGGGAGAGATATTTAATACAGCTGAGCAATTCACTACTTGAACAGCTGTGTCTTTCTTTAATGTAGAATGTTCAGGCAGGTACACCAAAACCAAAACAGGAAGGATGTCAAATAGGTGAGCAGATCATGAAACAATTGCAATCAGTATGTAGAGAAGGAATACTCCATAATGATATTTTGGCA